CGTCGTTTGATCTCTTGACTGTTGCTTCCATGAGTGTTGATAGTTGATCCTAGAAGAATGAAGTCCTTGACAACTTCAATCTTTTCTCCATTGATAATAATGTTGTTTATTGGTCCAGTGGTGAGGATTTTTGTTTTCTTGACATTAAGATGTAATCTATACTGAAGGCTGTGCTGTTTGATCTTCATCAGTAAATGTTTTAAGTCCTTTTCACTGCATATCACAGGTTGTTAATGAGTCTTCCTCCAATCTTGCGGCCACATTTTTCTTCATATAACCCAGCTTCTAGGATTATTTGCTCAGCAAACAGTTTGAACACGTATGGTGAAAGAATACAACCTTGTCGCAAACCTTTTTTTTTAATTTTAAACCATTCAGTGTTCCCATGTTCTGTTCGAAAAACTGCTTCTTGGTCCGGGTATAGATTCCTCATGACACAATTAAGTGTTCCTGAATACTCATGCTTCACAAGGTTGTCCATAGCTTGTCATGATCCACACAATCGAAAGACTTTGTATAAAAAATAAAGCACAGGTAAACATCTTTCTGATATTCTCTACTTTCAGCCAAGATCCATTGGTGACATCAGCAATGATACCTTTCGTTCCACGACCTCTTCTAAAAACTTCCAGAACTTCTGGAAGTTCTCTGTCAATGCATGATTGTAGCCATTTCTGTATTACCTTTAGCAAAACTTTACTCAAATGGGATATCAAAGAGATTGTCCAATGATTTCTGCATTCTGTTTGTTCACCTCTCTTTATAATGGGCACAAACGTGGATCTTTTCCAAACAGTCGACCAAACAGTTGTCTTCCAAATTTCTTGACAGAGATGAGTAAGTGCCTCCAGTGCCACCTCATTTTCTTGAAAGAGTTCAATTGTTATCCCTTGAATTCCTGGTGCCTTGTTGTTTGCCAATTCCTTCAATGTACCTTGATCATATGCTACCTCTTGAAAAGGATGAACATTAACCATTTCCTTTTGGCACAGTGACTCTGTGTATTCCTTCCATTTTATCTTGATGCTTTCTGCATCATTCAATAATTTGCTCAGAGAATCTTTCAATAATGAAAGTTGAGGCTTGAATTTTTCTTCAGTTCCTCCAGCTTGAGAAATGCTGAGTGTGTTCTTCCTTTTTGGTTTTCTAAT